AACAAAGGAACAACTAAAGAAAAATACACTATAGACCAGTACAAACCGCTCAGCTACATGGCAGTTTGAAGATTTGGAATAGGAAAATCTCCCGCATATTCTTCGCCCTTTTCAACAGATTAATATCTAAACCTACCTGTAGGTGCACAAGCCACAGAGCCTAATGGACTAGATTTCTGAATTTCACTGTTGTTTCTACCATTTGATCTTGCCTTAGTCTAGAGAAGAGAAACAGCAAACTTTTGCTGCTGAGTTTTTAATAAAGAAGCCAAGATTCAGTGGGTTGATCAGAGAGTGGTGACGCTGCCTTTGTCTTTATTCAGCCAACATTCATCAAAGCACCTCCCCTGGCCAGATTGTGCGCTATGCTGCTGCTCCATGTTATGAAAAAAGAAAAGGGTGTGTTGGTGTCATAAAACTTAATCTCATACCTAGCTTCCTCTAATCAACAGAAAGAATATCCTCACCCCTTTTGTGCTTGTATATTTGGATGCGTGGTCTTGGGCAGAGACTTCGGCCCTGGCTAGATGAAATTCTTCCTGTATTCATCTTGAAACTTCTTTTCCATAAATAAGCCCATCAGAGACATAGCTCCAATATTCTAGTACTAAAAGCTGATAGCTAGAGAGGGAGTAGGAATTTACATAAAATAGTATTACAGATTCTGGTGATTTACCATGAACATATTTATGTAAGAACTTTGCTGGGGTGCCCGGTGGTTCAGTCGGTTGAGTGCCTGCTCAGCTCGGATCGTGACTTCGTGTTTCATGAGATCAAGCCCTGCCTAGGGCTCTGCACTGACATGGCAGAACTTTCTCCCTCTCTTTCTACCCCTCCCCCACTGCACATGTACTCTCTCTCTTTATCAAAATAAATAAACTTTAAAAATAAAAACAAGAACACTGCCATATCTGCACTCTGACTGCTTGGATGCGCATCCCAGTTTTTCCACAACATGACTGTGAAGAGGTTATTCACACTTTGGTTCTCAGTTACCTTATCTGTATAATGGGAATAGCAATAGTGACTACATCATACCATGGGGTGAGGGCTAAGAAGTATTTGAAACTGAGTTACATTTTTATGGTCCAGTCTTTCATAATGCCACTAAATGGAATTAGGAATAATTGATCATTTGCTTTGCCACCACTCTTAGCTCAGTGGAAGTTCAGCTCTTTAGCTTCTGAGATAAACCAAGCATTGTACACAATGTATTGGTCCTTTATGAAATGGACTCTTAATTGTGAATTTTTCTTTGTTTTCAATTTTGATATGAAATTTAATATCTACTGATATTTTCAAAAGAGAAACAGTGTTTAAATCCTTTTGTGAATGTCCCATTTAGTTCTAGAAAATCAATAAGAAAATTAAAGACAGGTTAAACACCTGTCATTTGCTGGTGCCATTTCTGAATGAACTGGAGAAATTATTCCCTTCATTCTAACAGTGGAGACTTATCTGTGCCCTTTAAAGCATTAGATAGTGTAAGGCAGAAAATAATGAACCAACTTAAAAAATAAAAAGTTTCCCTGACTCTGCACGAGTTGCCCTAGAAACTAACATGCTTTATGGATCTTTGTGGCATCTAAAAACCAACAAGTTCCTTATTTAGACTATTCATTTCTTAATGGTCCCCTTTTTCTAGCACCGCTAGCTTTTGGGGAAAAGTGAACTTGAAGTGACATGTAATGTGAGCGGACTCTAATCATAATGCCTAAGACAGTCTCACATTATTAAAAAAGAAAAAAAGTTTGTGAATATGCATACTCTTAAGTCTGTATGCCAGAGTGGTGGTTTTAAGCATGCTCACATGTATACAGAGAGAGACATCGACAGAAAATAAATATATTCTCCCCAAATATCACTTACTGATGAAATTATGAGACCTGAGATACCTACAGGCCTGGACTCATTGTCTTCATTATTTCCTATTGTACCATTGCAGATGCCTTAAAAATCTCAGCATCTATATATATAATTTCTTTAAAATAAATTCAGTCCACTTTTCTTTGTATAATTCTTACATCTTTTGCATGTGCAAATTTCTCCCCCCAGTGAGTTAAAAGCTCTTAAAGAACAGGACCTGTGCCATCTATGTCTGGTGGATCTTTCTGTGATACCTAGATACACATCTGATGTTACCCGATTGACGAGACTATAAGGATGAAGGGAAAGGCTTGTGTATCAGAAACAATTTCTGATACTGAGGAAGATGCTAAGATACTTAGAAACAACACATGAAAGGAATATAAGTAAGCCACAACTAAAATAAGATGACGAGAAAGCTTAAAGACCTTAATGGAGATGTGGGGGGTGGAGGAGGAGAGTAGAAAAATAACTGTACTTAAGAAAGTAGAAGCCAGTGATTTTTTAAGGTTCAAATATATACATACATATGTATATATACATATGTATGTATATATTTGCCATTTTGAATATGCATCCAAAAACTATCTGTCAAAATAAACTAGTATGTGAAAATATGAAAGAAAAAAAAATTTTCACACAGCCACCTGGTTGATTGAAAATTTGAAGCAAAAATATTTGCATAACATGCTGAATTTTACAGTAGGGAAAGAAATCATTTGCTTATTTTAAGAACAAAATGAGTTTACCATACTTCTCCCTGGTTCAGAGGGTCACTTCTAAATGAGAAGATTTATGGGATTAAAAAAAAAAAAAGGGAAATAAAGTTTCCAAACTACAAGGCTATTAGAATCATTGTTTATGAAGAAGATTTTATTTGACACACAAAAAAATTTTGCTTTGAAATCACCATGGCATTGATTTGTATTTTATTGTTAAAGGGCCAATATAATTCTTGGGGGAATTTTACTATTGAAATGAATATAACACATATGGTGGCTAAAATTACTTGCTCTCCTAAACCTACATGTTGGGGCCTATATTAAGAAACATGTCATTTTGATGAATCTTTCCTACATATGAAAAAACAAATGAAGCCATTTAAAATGCATGGGCCTTTAAGTGAACACATGTGGAAAAAAAAAAAAACTAACAAGCATATAAATGTTAAGCAGAAGGAAGAAAATACTAAATCCTTTAAATGGAACTGGAAAAGAAGATTTTTACGAACTTGAAGAAACAGCGCATATGACTTCCAGTTTCAAAATGGTAATGTGAGGGTGTTTCTGCTCTTCTCTCAAAAATCACACTTGAGAAATAAGAATATAAAGAGAGAGAAACACCGATTTATGCATTGACAGCTAAAAGACAGGTAGAACTCCCAAGATGGAGAACACGGAAGGGAAAATGGTAAAATGACTCAAAACAGAGAAGTTAAAACCCAAGTGCCTATCAAGGGGATACAGATAGAAAGCAAATATCATTCACCCTGAAGAATTTTAGAGATGCTTTTGAATTGGATGTACTGTTTTCTACAGAAGGAGAAGGTGGAAGTGAGTATATCGAAAGTGTCTGCAAGGAAGAGTTAGACTCTCAACTCTGTCTCCATCCCTACCCCAACACAAACCTTGCAGAGCTGTACGCATATGTTCTGGAGAAGCTCTGTACTGGAAGTGAAGGCAGGCAACAGCATTGGGATGAGATAGAGGATTTGAAATAGAAGATTA